CATTCGCAAATGCGGTGCCAGTAGGGACTCAGTATATACACTGGAAAAGAGAACATTCTTATCACCAGGAACTCTGAAATAAAAAAAAGACCCATTCATTTTACAAATCCAATTTTGTATACAGTTTGAATGTTAACCAACACCCACCAAGCAAGGATGCTGCAAAGATTCTGGGGACCATGTCTTGAATCATATATTCTAGTTGTGTGCAGGAATCTGATCTTCTTGCATACAGTGTCTATGGATCTCCCTTCTTCCCAACACCGTGAAAATTAATCTACATCAATGTATTTCTATTTCTGTCTTGCTAATCACCAAACCTTTCCTTGTGCGGCAGTATTTGGTATACAGCTGTCTTTAGCAGACTAAGCTGCTTAATACTCCTGAGAGATGAACTTGAAGGTGTCAAAGGCATGTTAGGCAAACAAAAAATGCTTTTGGTGATTAAAAATAAAAACAATTAACCAAGTGCCTTTAATGGGGGGGGGGGAGAGAGAGACTCTGTCAGGAGTCAGATCTTTTGCTCTCTCACCTGGATGTTCTTCTCTTTTCCTTGAATCCAGGACTGGCACTCTATGTATGTTCACATATATTTTATACATTCTAAGGCTCAACTACACTGACATGGAAATAATTTGTGTGGTTACATTCTATTGTAAAATGCTGCTGAAATCAAGAGTGAAACAGCAACAATGGCATTCTACTGTATGCCTGAATATAAACAGTTTTTAACTGCTTAAACATCAAATGAAAATGAAAATACCTGTGTTAGAATTGCAGGGCATGGAAAACTAGAGAAAAAACACAACATTTAGGAGAATTTGTTCTGTCTTATAATATATACATGGAGAAATAGATTGAAGAATATAAATCAGATTGCACAGAAATCTTAACCAATTTTATTAATATGTTTATTTTTAATGTAAGTTCCACCTGTTTCTTATGGCTGAAGATATTTCGGAAGAGAAGCTAACATTTAATTACCGGTTTGGAAAAAGGGGAATAGTACACCTTTTGTTTGGCGTGCTTATCTGAACTTTGAGTCAAAAGAAAAACTGATATCAGAGGTAGGAGTGTAAAATTTCTTGGTTGGAGAAAGTATGACTCAGTAGTCACAGAACCACATTTTATTCTGAAAGATCAGATCCTACAGCAGATTTCCCATTAAATAGCTGTAGAAAATAGTGAGAATAAGGAAGAACAGAGTGTGTCTTGTGGAGAATGCTTTTGAAATATGGAGATAGCAGCAGTTGAAATGTGGAAAGAAGTATTGTAACTCAGGAACTACATTTCCTTGCCAGCAGGGGTTGCAAGAGGATTAAATACAATAGAAATATTCCTGATTGCTATCAGAATCACAGGGCTAGAAGGGTCCTTTGAGATCTTCTAGTCCAACCACCTGCCTAAGACAGGAATAATTTATAAGTCATTTATAGATTCATCTATAAAGAAGACAGAAACATAAATGAGGAGGGTGACAGCACCAGGTTTAATGCTGCTGGTTCCAGTCCATACAGTTGCACTTGGGTTGGTTCAGTTGTATGAGACAGAACCTGCAGATCTTATAATAAATAACAGCTTGACTCCTTCATGACATACTGTGTGATTATGAAGGGCTTCATTTCTGGTTCTTATTTCTTCTCCACAGAACACAGGTTAAAATTACTTCACAGTAAGCTTGCCAGATGTCTCAGGACCATAAAAAGACAGTAACAAAAATACCATTGGCCCTCCATCTCAGTAGGATATTGTCTTGACCATAGTTCCCCAAGGGTTCAGGTGCTCTACCTTGAGGCACTGAGGGCTGAATATAGGGCCTGCTATATACAAATCACATTGTCTATCATTGACATGTGGACTTTCCCATCAGTAGGACAGGGGAATCTGTGATCTTATCAGTATTGCTGAATTACAATTCCTCGCTCCTTCATCATTACTCATACTGGTTTCCCACCCTCAGCCTGAAAATCAAGTAAATAGTCAGGCAAACTGGTTCATAACCCTTCCGGTTATCTGAAATTGGATCCACACTTTAAGCCAAGTTATATGGGTTTAAAGTAGGTCTATCTCACATGGGCTACAAAACCTGGATGTCCACTAGATGACAATGAGGAGTTAAAGAAATGTTTGCCTTCTTAGCTTGATTGTGATGATGTCTTCTTTGCAAAGAATTAACATGACAGCATTAATAAATTATTTTCCCCAAACTGATGTAATCCATTAACTCCTTATTCCACCGATCATTTGATCCACGTCTATTCTTTTCCCCTTTCTGAGTTCAAGTGCTCTCCACATAAAACTGCATAAAACATGAAATTTGCTGTTCCAATTACTTACCGCTGTTATATTGTTTCAAGGCAGAATAGTCAACTGACTTATCTCCAGCATATAAGCATGATCACATCTAATGAAATATTTACATTTGATGCTACCTTAGATGGTGGCAGAATAAGGAGGGAAATACTACTGGTAGCATTATGGATGATTAACGTCTGCCTTACTTGTGGGCTAAGGTCTAGAATGACAGCTGCATTATAAGAATACAGCACAAGGAAAGACATCTTGTTTGTGTGCTGATTTGATGCAAGGAAAGGCTTTAAGATTTGAAAGTGCTGTTCTAGACAAATGACAGGAAATATAAAAAACCTCAAACGTACGTGTTAGCTTCATAAAACCGCACACTAAACAGAATTAGAGTACCAGGAAGAGGAGGTAAAATGTAATTCAGGAGGAATATATCATCATTTCTCTCAGATTATGATTGGGGACAAGACATTGTGTTTCGCTGATTCCAGCCAGTGAACTTGGGGAGCTTTAATAAAAGGTTCTTTAGATCATCATAAAAACCATAAAAGTTTTTTTGCTTTTTAATGGTAGCTGGTTCGCAAGAACTAGATGGGATCTGTGTTATGACAACTTTATATTTTAATCGGTATAGAGAAACCTATCACTCTCTAGCTGCATAAACTTTGTGAAATTGTTTGAGAAAATGATAAAAATGAATTCTTCCGAAGAAGTGTAGGAATGACACTACGTAGGCTGAATATGTTGAACTGATGTGAAATAGGCTATATGTGGTTGCTATTATTTACTGTAATTAATTCATCATGGATATTTTGCTGTTGCTGTGAATGTTTTAATATTGTATACCTATTTGTGACTGCTAGGAATCTTGACTGAATTACAGCAGACTAAAATGGAATGAATGAGTGCATGAACAAATATACAAATAAAGAAATAAAATTATGGGTGTTAAAAACCAGAATATTTGGGTGCAAGATATGAGGCTGAATCTATCAAGAATTACCAACATGTTCCCAAGATATACACTTTTTCTTCTTCAATGTTAGGAACTTAAGGTGACATACATAGCCATCATTTAGAGAATAGAATAGAGCTGGAAGAGACCATGGAGGTCTTCTAGTCCAGCCCCCTGCTCAAACAGGAGAACCTATACCATTTCAGACCAGTGACTGTCTAGTCCAGGAGTAGGCAACCTTGGCTCTTTTATGATTCATGGACTTCAACTCCCAGAATTCCTGAGCCACCATGGCTCAGTTTGGAAACTCTCCCTTTCCCCTCAGCATGGCTGGCTCAGGAATTCTGGGAGTTGAAGTCCACGAGTCATAAAAGAACCAAGGTTGCCTACCCCTGGTCTAGTCTCTTCTTAAAAACCTCCAGTAATGGAGCGCCCACAATTTCTGGAGGCAAGCTGTTCCACTGGTTAATTGTCCTCACTGTTAGGAAGTTTCTCCTTAATTCCAGGTTGCTTCTCTCTTTGATCAGTTTCCAACCATTGTTTCTTGTCCTGCCTTCTGGTGCTTTGTGGCAGCCCCTCAAATACTGAAATACTGCTATCATGTGACCCGTTTCTTCTTTTCTTTAGACTAGCCAAACCCAAGTCCTGCAGCCGTTTTTCATATGTTTTAGTCTCCAGGTCTTTGATCATCTTAGTTGCTCTTCTCTGAATTTTTTCCAAAGTCTCAATATAGTATTTTTTATAGTATGGTGATCAAAATTGGTTGCAGTATTCCAGGTGTGGTCTCACTGGGGTTTTATAAAGTGGTGCTACTACTTCACATGATCTTGGTTCTATGCCTCTGTTTATACAACCCAGGATTGTATTAGCTTTTTTGGCTGCCGCTGCACACTGCTGGCTCTTTCTTTTCTCTTATTTTAATTCACAACCACAATCCTACTTTCTAACACAAAGTAGGTGGGTGGAAAGAAGAACTGGTCCAAAATCAGTCATTGAGCTTTCATGGCTAAGGGAAGACCCGAATCTGGGTCTCCCTGGTCCTAGTCCACATCTTATTCATTACTCCAAACTTTGAGTGTGGTAAAACAACAAAGCCAATTTTGCTAATTATATGTTACCCCTGTATGCTATATGAATTCAGCCAGCATGGTCAATTCACATTTGGAAAAAACCCCCAGATTTTTAGTATGCTACAAAAATCCAGGGAACAGTAAGATGGCAGAAAGGTAAAATTTTGTATCCTTTTGCTGACATCTAATAGTGATCCACATTGTTGCAGTCAGATCATGTAAACCCAGAAAAATGGGGTAATTTTGAAAACCACAGGTGTGTTTATGAAAATCCCATTGCAAAGTCTTCTAGTAGCTGAACAGCTTTTGAAAAGAGAAACGATTATAACATAAGCCCTTTGCCACACAGCCAATTTCATAAAATAAAAATCTTTGGTCATTTCGTTTGGTTTTGTTGTTGTTTTATTTTATTTTGCTTTGCTTTGTTTGACTGAGCCATGAAAGAACTGGGGATAGCTTTCCACCAGGGGAAAGGAGTCAGTTGGGCAGAAAGGGGATGACCCAGAAGGAGGGTCCCACAGGAGCTGTGTATGGCCAGCTTTACCATTAAGACCCGATTTTAAGCACGAATGGAATGTGACTATTTGAGCGTCAGTGGCAGTCATCTCCTTTTATTTTCTGGCCTTAAGGCCAGAGGATAGAAAACCAGAAGGTAACCAAACAGCTCAGGAATGCTGGTAAATAATTCAGCTAGGCAGCTGATAAGTCACTGACCCAGCAGTGGGGGTGGGAGGCTTTCAAGGGTGCCAGGGCCCAGCAGTGCTGGTTCTGCCTGTGGGGAAACTCACTTCCCTTCACCCAGCTCTGCCTGCCTCTCAGTTTTTTCCGAACTGAAACCGGCCTGACCAGCTCCGGAGAGCCTTATTTCTTCTCTCCTCTGTCTTTTGATCTAGGCACTCGCACACACACACACACAGAGAGAGAAGAAAGTCTTGGAGCCAAGTCAGGCCCTGCTAGGATGGTGGGGATGTTAAAAGATGTATGTGCTCTTTGACTTTGCTCTTCTGTCTGCACTTCACTGAGCGGGACAGAAGCTCTCCCCACCCCTGCTCATCTACTCCCTTCTGCATCAGAAGAAACTCTGCAAAAGACCACTGGCTGGCTGGCTATCCCATGACGGAAAGGTAAGGAAAACACAAGAGGACTGGGCAGCTCTGGTAGGTGCTGGCCTATGGGCTTGGAAAGAGTGAAGGGGGAAAAGCAGAACAGAATGACCAGGCTGGGCTGTTGGGTTAAAACCAGGCCAGAGCAATTCACCCAGAAAAAAAAAGGAGCACAAAAAGGAACCAAGCTAGTTACTCCTACAAGCCTCCTGTTTTGCAAAGGGCTTCATGCCATTTGTGCCACTTGTGACCCAAAGCAAAGAAGGACAGCTGTGGATCCCTTTAATAATTCCATACATGAAGGAAGATGGCAGGTGGAGCTTGTTCTATAGGGAGCAGCCAAGCTGCTCCACTCAAATTGTAATTTTCCCTTTTTTTACCTCCAGTCACTCAGCTGGTAAAGCTCTGTCCTAAAGTGCCTCCCTTCTGGGCAAAGGAAATAATTAGGGCTGCAAAAATAGTCACTGTTAAGGAAAGGGTGGCCTTGATGTTACAAACAGCTGCAGATGTTGTTTCTGTGTACAAGGGATTGTCAAAGAAACAGGTGTACATCTTTTTGATCAGAACCCCCACCTTCCAATTTCTTCATTATGGGTGCACTGCCCCAGTGGAGGCCACAATGATTCCCATGCATCATGAAATTGTTGCACAAATGATGCAAACCCCTTGATTTGCAATGATGTCACGACCCGTATGACATAATTTGTTCATCCTATGGACTCCCAGTGGACACATGTTCCAGGGTGTCACTACTAGGCTACAGATGAAGTTTTAAGGGAATAGCCTCAGCCTAGGGTGAGTGCTGGAAGATAGCATGCCCAGGTGTCTCCATACATAGGTATTTGAAGAATGCACACACTGAAGATGACTTTTTATAGGTATTAAAATCCTTTAAATGTCCTGCTGGATGCATACTCTGTTTGGGTATATAGATCTATGGACTTTAATTAAAGCCCTTTCTCAACCATAGGTCTGGATATAATCATGAAAGAAAAGAATTAGGCTGTATTTGGACAACATGCTAGATTAAAATGTAGTTGGTTAGTTTCTAATTCAGTGTGTTGTATGAACCCAGCCAATAGTTGGTTTGTACATCCAGAAAATTGGATTCGGTAAACCAACTTTATGTAGATCATGGATATATCTGTAGTGGCCACATGGCCTAATTGTGTTTTAATGATTATATATAAAGGCATGAAAAGTCTTCCAGACCAATTTAACAAGCGTAAAAGCGCCCAGTAAATCTGTCTGTTTGTTCAGTAGCAGCTTTGTCCTTGGCTTGGCCTTGAAATGATTTAGTGCATTTGAGACTGGAAATGGAGCCTTCAGGCCTTTTGAATATTGCTTAGCTTTGCTCATTTCATCACTGCTCTCTGGGCCTTTTCCACCCCCACTGAAATGTACAGAGGAAACTGTGGCCCTCCTGATGTAACCGAGCAACTTGAACAATCATCAATGGCTGGGGCACTTGGGGGTTGTAGTTTGAAATACTGTATAGCATCAACCCCTTGTAAACTCTCAGGTTTCCTCTTTCTGCTATGTGTTCAAAATGGACAGTGATTAGCATATGTGTGTGTGTGTGTGTACACACATTAAGAATTTCATTTTTAATGTGGGCCAGTGTGCTCACAGTAGAAAATGACAATAAAGGTTGTCTTATCTTATCACAGCAGATTTTTCTATTCTATTTTCCATTGTGAGAATACAATGATAAAAACCCTATGTCCTCTTGATTTAAGTGCCTAAAATTGAAATAACTGGGGGGGGGGAGAGAAGGGGAGACTGGAGAAGATTGTATTTGCAAAAGGACTTATATGAACATTGTTGCTAAAAATAATCCTTACCTTAACATGTTCTCAAAGTTGTTGTGTACCTCAATTTTGGGGAGGATTAAAATCCAGGTTAATGTGCTAGTTCTTGTATTGTCAGAGATAAAAAAAAAATCTCATTACATTACACACTGTATTATGGGCACTTACCTTTCCTTTCAAGAAGTGTCTGGCCAGCCTTGATTAGTCATTGGTGGATTTCCTGGAGGATTCCTCTATTTTAAGAGGAGAGGGGGAGAAATTCCTGCATTGCCCATTCCTCAGCTAATTAACACCTTCAAGATAGTCATTCCACCCCAGTAAGCACAACAGATTTTCCTAGCCAGACACCATAGCTGCAAGAATGAAGACCTCACATTACCATTCCAACAAGATGCTACATTCACTATAGCAAGAGCTGAGATATAGTAAGGGTCTCTAATGAAAAGACTTTGGTTTGCGCATCCAAAGTATTAGTTGAAATTCACCATATATCCTAGCAACTATTGTCCCAAGTAGATGGATAGCAAGAGAAGCCTAGCTTCCACTGCATGCTGCTTCTAATTATTGACAGTTGCTTGTCAGTCATATTCTGGGTAGCAATCGGGTAAGCATTCCCACAATTATTAGTCTAGCCCGTCTTTTTCCACTGCTTATTTGCTGCAACTGTTCCAGCATTTAGATGAAAAAGTAGTGCTTATGTCTGTTAGAAGATTATGGTTTCCTTTTGGTTCAATAGTTGGCTGTTTGCCATTCCACGATCTGATTCCTATAAAAGAAATTAATAAGCAAGCTTATATTAAAAAAATCTATTGTGTCCTATTAATCACTGATTTATCCATGCCAGATGAAGCAGCTCTGGTGCAACAGTTTTTCAAATTTCTAATAACCAAGATACCCTTTTCTGAATTAAAATTGAAGACTCTGTTCAGTTGGAGACTTTATCCCTCTGATTCTGTCACTGGATGAGTCATTGTTCCAAATGTGCCATTTCATTAGTAGTAAGGAATTCCAGAACAATAATTCACCCAGTAAATACTGGTATTGAGTGACTAAATGATCCACTTGTGCAAGAGATCCCAGTAGAGGGTGTTTGTCATACCAGAGACACAGTGGGAACCTCTTGAGCTAAGACTAGCTCAAGAAGCTTTTAAAGGTAGCAGGGTGGGTTTCTACAGCATGCTAAAAGCCTCTGGTCCTCAGTGTTTGTGTTTCCACAAAAAGGAGGTTGAGGTTGAGAAGTCCACGCAAAGTGAGGAGGAGAAGGGGCTGGCTTTGCACAACAGAAAGACTGCTTGCCTTCCAGTGCTTTCTGGGACAAACAAAAAACTAGCTTGCTTCGAGGACTTCCGGTGGCAGGCGCCTTCGCTGGACGCAGCTGTTTGCTGCTCCCGCCTGTTTCTGCGTAAAAGCCGTTTTGACAGCCTGCATCAGCTGTCAAACGGCTTGATACCTTTCCCCTGGGCATAGGGGGAAAGGTGAGCTGCCCGAGGTAGGAGTTGAGTTCCCGAGTCGTCCCTTGTGGACGATGTAGGTGA